ATTGAGAATTCTTCAAGGCGGCAAAGAGATATCGAGGGACCAATTATTATTTTTATTAACAGTGATATATCGCATTAACAGTGAATACCGGCACAAGTCTAGTCTGCATAAAATTATCATATTACTGCTGGGCATTTTCCCCAATACAGACTTTTGATGCTAGAGTGCTCAGTAAGTTTTCAGTTTTTAGATCTGGTCTAGAAAAATAAAACATAACAGTAAATGATAACCAATAAACAGACAGCTATGCTCATAAGCAGTGGCAGTTAATAAAACATATTGCAGGTGGGGCTTTGCGACATCCAAAACAGATGGGCTAGCATATTATCTTGAATCCATATGCAGCACCCAACTGGCCTGCCATCAAATCATTAAACAGTACAATAATAATAAAGTAAGAAACGTCCACTTACTCGTTATTGTCATTAACATCAGGGGAGCCAACAGTTCTATCCAAGTACGCAGATGAGTCGTTCTCATGAGTGTTCTCTTCAGGAACCAGTGTGTCCTGACAGAACTACATTTTAAAAACCAAAGTAAACTCCTAAATAGCATTTAATAAGGTTTTGAATTTCAAAGTTATATGAGTCTCACATCAATGTCTGGGTCCATTACATCATCCCAGGTTACAAAAACAGTGCAGGATTCATTGATGTGATCAGTTATATTTACTGGTGGCACCCTATCCCTCTGGATGGAGAACACCTCTGTTGCCATGTCATCTGAGCCGACAAAGTCAAATAGGTGTTTAAAAAAAGAAATATACAAGATATTAAAAGCAGTTACTTTTCATATCAGTAAAATGCGAGTGCATACAGCACACCGGCATTAAAACGCTGTCTTTATGGTCAAACGTGTCGCCCTCACATTGGGAGTTCTGCGGGGAATATGTCCAGATATATGATATGTATCCGATTAAAATACACATTTGGAAGTGGCTCAGATCGGATGCAAAAAAAAATTTGTGTTTACACTTGTGCAACAAATTCCGATCTGTGTCAGACGTGAACAAAAAATTAGATTTTTGTGCCAGTGTAAATGCAGCCTAATTTTTTGTTCACATCTGACAGAGATCGGAATTTGTTGCACACGTGTAAACACAAAAATCCGATTTTTTTGCATCCGATCTGAGCCACTTCCAAATGTGTATTTTAATCGGATACATATCCTATATCTGGACATAT